AAACCAGTAAACTTGCGCGATATTGTCACCGACTTTATTGTGGGGGCCCAATGCTGGTGATTGTAGCTGTTCCTCTTTTGCGGTAAATACTCCATTGAGAGTCTGACGGCGTAAAACGTGCGTACTGTTCTTGTTTGAGGTTGTAGCGTCCAAGCAAAGTGTGTACTCAGTTCATTACGGTCAAAACTCAAGATGTAGCAAAGGGCGGAAGGCACCTGTGGGCGCGGGAGGGATCTATTGCGCGCAGAACTCCCGGGCAGGAGTGGCCACTGGCGAAACCAGGGCTAATGTTGACTACGTCCAGTGATGTCTGTGACAGCGGTGGCAGCTGCTTTTGGCGAGACTGCCTTTTGGGGTCGCAGAAGGGTACTTATGTCTTATAACCACCCACTTACAAATTTTAAGTAGATGAAATTTCCCACCTCTCCGGTCGCATTCGCTTCTCTGGCAGTGGGATTCACCGCGGTACCGACACAATTAGCACATCTATCAACAACCCCACCCGCCGTCTGTGTGTTCTCCATCACCGTCGTCTCCCTATCCTCCTATCAGCCTGGTCGGGCACCTTCGGATCCATCGAGCAGAGCCTGGGTTCCGACACTGCTCACGCACATTCACTCACCGCGTGGGCCTGTTAGGCCAAATGCGCCCCGATAGAGACCTACGGAAGAACGCCGCCGCTGCCGGCTATACTGCATTGTTGCGCCATACATGGTCAACCCCGACATTACATACGACTTGCTTACAACAGCACCTCTCACTGAAAAGAAAGTTAGTTTCTCTGCTCATTGCACATGTTTACCATCCGTTATTGTGTGATTCGAGCTCGAAAACTTGACATTTACTAGAAAATATGGTTTCGAATATTACCAACCGGTGCTTTATAAAAAGATCATGTCATCAGCCAAGTGCGTGTTAAGTGGCTCTCCAGTAGACTGGGAATCAGGCGGCCACGACTGTGACGTGACTGACGCCGACAAATGCCTAATTTGTGTTAAAAAGTCGTGCGTACACCGACGTAGTTGCTGTTGTAACGTCCACAGGCAAATCACACGGTCGTCGCATAGAGTGCGCTCGGACGCGAGATAGATAGGGTGGGAAGGGGCCACCTCTGCAAGAATTCTTGAATCCGGATGACTAGGCATCAGTTTCAAAGCTGACACTGAGTACTTGTGGCAACTTAAGTCACATGATTGGCATTCTTAAATGAGCTACGTCTTATCCTCGTCTCCTCCCGTATGTGGCTCCTCTGTCATGTGTTATCCGCGCCGTAGACTATGGCGTGGAAGGCTGCCAGCTGAAGCTAATAGCAGATCACGCCATCAGCCCAGTGTGTGTTGTATGGCCGACTAGTGTACTGGGAATCAGACGACGTCGGCTCCTTCTAACCCCTGGTTGTGATAATCCTGGTATACATTTCAATAGAACCAGGTCGCGCTGTGCCCCGTGCAGATGGGTTTGCCGTATCCGTCAGCCACTCGCCAACCACTTTACACTTGGCAACAGACCGGATTGGTCGGTGATCTGGTGCTGGAAGTGGGGGACGACTCAGTACACTTTTCCTAGACCGGAGTTCGGGTGATGAAAGGTCCAAACGGAGTAAGAATAGTCACATTTCGTGAGTTTGATACGTATTAATGGTGGGGTTGTGAACAGCGCGGGTAGTTGTGGCTGGCATGCTTGTGATAGGTCAAAGGGGCAGCTGGAGGAAGCCGGCTGTTTAGCCGTACTTCGACGACGAATCGGTATGCCATGTCAGTATTGGTTGTGTAGATTAATCTGTGTTCGTTCCTTTTCTCCCTCCCTCTCTCTCTTCCCTCCTTTCCCCGTTATTTTCTTTCACCCTCCAATCACTTTACTCGTTTCTCCTCTCCTTCCTCCTGTCTCTCTTCCTCTTTTCTTGCTCAATCTGCTCTGCCATTCTCATCTCCGATCTGTTTTCCCTTACAGCCCTGCGCCCATCCCAACTTAGGCGGCCGACAGTAAGGCGGTGTGGGAGAGTGTGAGAATGGCGCACTTCTTTCCTCACTATAATTAATCCGACGCGCTTGAACCTATCGCGGTGCGCTAAAAGCCGTGGCTTAGACAGTTGCCAGCTGGCGGGTTAACTCGGACACCGCGGTCGGTCCAGTGCGTATTGTGGCTGCCTGCGGGCTGAGAGTCAGATCCAATAGCTCCTTCTTAATGTGGCCTATATGGCGCTGCCTGTCGGGAGCATATCTAGGGAGACGTGCTGTTTGGTACGCGTGTTGAGTGTTTGTCGCGCCAGCCGTCTGC